AAAACAAAATCGTGTGTTTTCTCGTTTCTTGTTATAATCTTTAAAGAAAATAGAAAAGTTTAAACAGATATTTAAAAGATTTTTTTTTGCTATAGACATCTTTTATAATGCAAATTTATATTCAAATGTAATTTTTGTAAAAACAAAATTGTGTGTTTTCTCGTTTCTTGTCATAATCTTTGAAGAAAATAGAAAAGTTTAAACAGATATTTAAAAGGTTTTTTTTTGCTATAGACATCTTTTATAATGCAAATTTTCTGAGATTATGAGCAGATAATGATCAATTTAATAACTGCTGTTAAGGACTATGACAGCTCTAAATGTAATTTAGTCAATTCAAATATTTATCTTCTATTAACTGTTTGAATACACTTGGCATGAGAATGTTGTATATCATGTATAATACGTTTAGGCATATTTCCACGATTCGTCTTTGCAGCCACATGTCACAATATGTGAAACAAAATATTTATTCAGTTCTTACGAAACGAATTATGCAGTACGTGCGATGTTTAAAATAAAGAACAAATAAAAAACACTTGAACGAATGTATGCACACAAAAATGCATACCATTTTTAATGCAGTAGCGATATTGTTACTCTCATACGCTAATTGCATCATCGCGCTGAAATCGATCGGAAAAAATTGATCCGGGTCCTTTCTCCGTTTTCTGTCACAGAGTTCACAGATTAAGTATCAATATCGAAGTATTAATTGGTGCACGTAAACTACTATCAATATCCATGACGTACTGTCTCCGTAATTGGGACAAGCGAATGAAAGGTACGCCGAACGATTAATTAAAGCGTTTGGAAAATCTAAATGAAAATAATGTCCAAAATATATTTAATTGACTGTATTAAGAATTTATAGGACTTTTCTCACACACACAAAAATACTTCTAATAAAATGTTTATTATTAATTGAAGAAAAGGTGCTTAAAGGATTTTTCAAAAACGCAACTTTTAAATATTTTGTGAAAAAATTGTGTATAAAAAGTTGCGAAAAAGTAATTTTATCAAAAATTGTGAATAATTTAAAAAGTGTTATTTTACTTTTGCTACGATCTAGATTTTTTTTTTTTTTCATTTCAACGGTATTCTATTCGTAAATGATAATTTTATTAATTTGAAATTGAGAAAAAATTTCCTTTCGTGAAGTTCAATTTGTAAATATTTTTAACACTCGTTATATTTAAAAGAAAAACTTATTGATTCCCGTTTAAGATATCGTGGCAAAACCGAAGAAAATTAACGTTCTTTAATTATTTATATGTTTTAATAAAATTACTTTTTTGTAACGTTTTATCCATTAAATTTTCAAAGAACTTATAAAAGCCTTTAATAAAAAAATTTTTTTGTACTTTTAATTCTTGATAAGAAATAGATACTAGATTTTGTCAAAAATTGTTACAGCAGAAAAGTTCTTACAGCTTTGAATGTTCAGTAACGTGAATTATTTACAAGAATATCTCATCTCGTTGCTTTAAAGATCTTTCTTATAGTAAGGAGTCCTTGGGTTTTTAATTCATTAGTACTTCACTTTTTTTGAAGTGTAGACTTTTGATCACGTTTCCTTATTTGTATTTCGTACGTATGTATTACCAATTTTTTGGTCGATAGGTATCTAAATAAAATAATGATGCATCATTTTCAGTCATGTTAAAGTCAGTGGCTTTCTTGGCCGCGTCCTTAAAAAGTTTCCGGCCGCCCATTCACGCGTCCTTCGGCGTTGTGATTTGTGAGAAAATTGTCTGATTTCGCGATCGATAGATTCATTATAGGTATTCTTAATGTCTTAATGTCACGGAAACATTAATATGTATACTGTTCTTCTTGAACACACGACATATCCTGGAGTTGTTTTTTAAATACAAATATATTACGAGGGCATAAAGGGGTCATTGAATACACAAATCATATTTCATTGTAAATTGTGAAATGTCTGTAGAACCGGTATACGTGCCATCGCTATGTATGTAAATTTATATGCATAGAAAACTATGTAAATACAATACAATGGATTGGATGCATTTTGCACATGTAAAGTAATTATACTAATTAAATTTAATATTTTTCATGAAATTCAAATATTTTTTCCGAATAAAAAGTATTTACTAAGTTAAAAATTGTTTATTAATTATATATACTCATTTGTACATTTAATTGGTACAAACTTAAAACAATTTTTAATGCATGTGAATGCCATATGTAAATATTATTAAAATCAATTAATCATATAATAAATTTAATAATGGACAACAATATCACGTGGATCACTTCACATTGTGCATATATGTATGTACGTAGCAAACAGCATGTATAATACGTATTAAATAAATGTATAATAAATATTATAACTTAAAATTAAAGTTAGTTATGACAAACGTAGTTAATTGAAGCAAACATTATTTTACTAGTGCTTGCTTTAATACTAAATCAAGTAATAAATTAGAAATAAAAGAACTAATATAAATCAACTATAAATTTAACATTTATACATTAGTGAAATTAATTTTAGATTGCGAAAGACTTGGGACCGTTCACTGATATGAACGATCCTTAAGTCTTTCATTGAACCTGTAAGATTGGCTTGCGAGTGAAGGTGCAGTGATTGATAGAGTCTTTGCCATATGCACTTATATTTATGAAGAAATTTAAATATCATGATATTTTCCTTTGTTTCTCAACTTACCGCATAAGTGAATCAACTTCATTTATGTGAAATTAGCAATTTATGAAATCAGATACATTTAAAACGTAAAGAGAGAAGGAGAGGGACAAACTGTACTTACGTGATTCAATTGAGCAGAACTATTTAGCGTGACAAATAGACATATAAGTAGATAGATAAACAGACAAATAGGTGGATAAGTAGATAGATAAATAAGCATGTATCGAATTATTGTAATCTTGATTCATATACAATATTGAGTATAAAAAATAATTATAATATTATAATAAATGTATTAACAAATAATGGGTGAATAAAAGTGTGCGCTACATTAAATAATATTGTATATCATAATCAAAATATCAAAATAAAATATCAATATTAAAATTTTAATATATCTCTCTTTTTCTCATTTTCCTTTTCTAAAAAAAAAAATCAATAAAAATAAATTGATTTGAGAAAAGCTTTCAGATGGAGAGAGTTTATTTTTTGTTAAGATTACATTTTACGTTCATGAGCTTAAATTTTGTAATACAAAGATAATTAATTTGTTATTAAAATATTTTTAAAAATTGTTTGCAATGAAACGTGATTTTACGAAGCTATTTAAAGAGAAAAAAAAAGATGAAGAGTTAAATTAAGAGATATATGAAATAAAAAGGAAGATTAAGAATTTAGACATTCTTTTATATAAATAAAAATATTTTAAGAACAAAATTTAATTATCGTTACATTTTACATTATTACACTAATTCGGTTAAAATACTCAATGTTTTTTCGATTCTATTTGTAAGTTGCAACCTAAAACAATAATATTAAACTTTTTACATTATTTCTTTAGTGTAAGCTGTAGTTAAAGTAAAAAATGAAATTTGGAAATAGCAATTCACATTTTCAAAATTGTATTTGAAAATAGAAGTTAAATATGGCATATAATTAGTTTTCACGTTTAAAGTACGTTTACAGCATGTAAGTTTAATTCACTCTTTTGTCCAAATAAATAAATCTATACGCGAATTTTTTGTAAAAAATTACAAAGTTTTAAAGAAATTTTATCATTTATTAAAAAATTATTGCAAAATATATTCGACCGTTTTTTATATAGGTTATAAAAAACTGTTTTTTGCTATTTTTTTATAGGGTGTTTCTGAAATAACGCTCACTAATCATATAATGCTATTCCTAATAAAAACTTGAATCGAAAAATTCTATATCATTTTGTAATTTTCGTAATAGTTAACAAGATATTAATCCTAAAGGTTGCTAAATAAACGGATAAAATCGATGTATAAGACAATTTTAAAATATTTTTCAGTGTTCTTTGTGAAAAATTTTGAAGATGTTTCTTAAAAAACTCTTAAAGATATCTTAAAAATTATCTTATATGTCGATTTTAGATATTATGCTGAGTGGATAATTAAAAAAAAATATTGCGAAAATTGTAAAATGGCAGAGAACTTTTCGATTCAGTTTTTTATTAGGATTCAGTTTTTTAGTTTTTTATTACAGTTTTTTTGATAAACAGACTTTTCTAGCAACTCGTATAGTTTATTTAAAAAAAATTTATAATTATACCACTTGATACAGCAACGTTTCAGCTTTAAGTATTTGAGGTTTTAGTGCGATAATTTTTAACGGAATTATGAACAATAAAGTCAAAATATTCCTTTTTATTTAATTCGCGAGGAACAAAAAATCATAAGAATAATTTAAAAAAACGATTTTGTAGGGAAAGTTTCAAGATTTCTCGATAGATAATCGAAAATTTGGTCAAATTTTTTTTAGCACGCTACAGACCTACAAAGTCAAAAAAATTTTTTATTTTTTTGAACTCGTAGTTTTCTGTATGTATATATAAAAATTACAAAATCACATAAATTCAAAAAATATAATAACCATTCGAAAGTAGAGATTTCAAGCTATAAAACCCTTTATTTAAATTTAAATTTTGATCATTTTTAACGAAGATATTGAAGGGGAAAGGTCTTTTTATTAACTTGTATAAAGGGACTTTTTCCCTAATCCAATAATAATATGTAATACAGTTAAAAACATGAAAAATTGAATGACGTTAAGAAAAAATGAGTTTTACCTCATCAAAATTAATAATCGTGAATTAAACTTAAAACATAAAGTAGTGTAATGCTGCTGTCTTAGAATGTTTATTCCTTTAAATTCTATTTTATTTTAATTAATTTTTGCAAAACGTTGCTTAATTAAACTCAAGATAACAGGGATAAACAAAAATATCAGTTGTAAACGTTCTCCAACTATCATTTGAACGAAATATAGTTTACTAATATTGAATTACATTATTAATACTTACATAAAAATACAGAATACACAATCAGCTAAATTTTAACCAGCCGCTTCTTGTCACAGACTAGAATAGTTGATGTGTATAGCTTTTTTTGATCGCCACCTCACGATTCCGAATAATTTGCGCCGTTCTGATAATTCGTCGATCTTTGTTACTAATATTCGTTACAATTTGTTTCCTATTCTCGGTATCTATCGTCTACACATCAGATCTGCTGCGATTCTCGTTGTTGACATAACCGTTCGTAGAATAACAAGCGAGATCAGATAGTCATGTATAATTGATCCATAAAATACATAGATAACAAAATAAAAAGGGAAATAAAAAAACAAATAAAAAAGGAAAAATACAGGAAAAACCAGTGAGACGTTAGATGAATAGAGCAAATTAGTCTCCGATGGAAGTTAACGAGACACTGTTCGAACACCGTGTGTTCGAGTGGCATTCGTATCTACTGCACGACGGATGTACGGCGTGTGTATCGTGGTTCTTTCCCCCTTTCGCAAACGATGTGGATGTCCTCCGGAGCAGTAGTGACAGCAGCACCAGTAGCGCACACATTAACGAGCAAAGTGTTTTTATCGGACCGGTGCCCTGCCTTTCTGCGATTGTTATTAAAATAGCGAATTTGATTGGAAGCACTAGTGCGCACTGCGGTGCATATTAAAGCCGTTGTACACTGATTTAATTTGAGCATAAAAGTAAAATGCAAATATTTCGAATTATAAAATATATATTTTACCTAATACTACAATAAAATGTATTGAGTATTTCAGGATTTAATCGACTTCTATGTTTATGTACGAACATATCTTCACGTTATTTTACATACGACGGCTTTAATGTGCACCAGTACGCACTAAGTGCGTCCAATCGAATTCGCTATAAGTATTTGGAAGTCTACTATTACAAGAAGAGAGATCTATGCATAACTTATTCGCATTCCACTTCTACCTCGTGAATAATTTGTAAGGATTTGAAAAAAATTAGTATAATTATTATAATTAATTATGATTATATATGTCAATAAAATGTATATAAATAGAATACATTTTAGAAAAGAAAAAAGATTCATGCGTAAAAGTTTTTACATTAACCATGACTTTATAAAATATTTTATTAGTTAATAATTACATCATCTTTTGTGCAAACATATTTGTAATAGTCATATTACGACACAAACTTATGGGGATCATGGGCTGACCGTAAAAAGAACAAGTATCTTTTACTGTCATTGTGTAATTTAATGTATTACTGTGTAATGGCATCAGAAAAAAATTAATGTACATTGTGTAATAATATCAGAAAAAATATAATAGAAATATGAAAATGAAATGTAGTAAATACATAAAACGATTTGTAAATACTTTGTTAAACGTCAAACAAAACGCATTGGATTAATACTCGATGAAATATATGCTAATTTACATTTTAATCCTAGAAAAGAGGCGAAGTATATATACACTTATGTAATTATTATTTTCATTTCTGTGGTACTCGATGATTTAAGAATTCTTCGAATTCCAATGTTTGACGAGAGTATTTGCATTTTGTTATTATGAAACTTGGCGTAACAAAGACTGATTACGCTTAAAAAAAGAATATATACATATTTTCGCACACTTATGTACAATTTACCCCTTCTTTTTCTTATTTTTTCTTAGTGAAAGATTTTATTAGTAGTTGACTATCGCCTGAGATTTTTCGCGAAATTCATGCTCGTTTGGTTACTTTCAAAATTTATTTCAAAATTGCAATGCGCCACTCCCTACGAACCCGTTCCTCCTGCGTTGTAGCTTTGCTTTTGAAATGTACAACGTTATATTACAATGTAAATATATAGCTAATGCGAATGATGGAAAACGATTTATGACTGGAAAAATGTCTACATTGTATTTGTCATACTAGTTTTTATTAAAGAAACTTATCCTGGTTTATGAATATTGGTATTAGTAATTACAACCTTTAGACACTTAATATGTATAAATGATCAGAAAAACTTTAACATGTTTTAAATAAATTAACATTAAATTATGACATATTAGAATAAATTGAAGAATCTGAGATGAGTTTTTTTTTACCAGAGAGACGTATTATGCTTGTTTTAAATTAGTCTTGACAATTTATAACATTTTTTTATGTTCTCACTAGAACAACGAAAAAAAATTTTGTTCTTAACTTAACACTCATTTAATTCTATGTAATGAATCGCTTCCTCAATTTTTGTATATCAATTTGTTACTGCGTTCCGAATTTATGTACATCTGAAGAAGGCCTAAATATAAGGCCGAAACATGTAATTTGTAGTTTGCGGTGTTTAATTTTCTTATTTTCTTGTGTTTTTTTTTATATTTTATTAAACTTTTGTTAAACGAACAATGTAGTCTTTTTATAGTTTATTGACTCTTATTAGCCTTTTACATCACATTTCGTATTTAGAATAAATTGAAATAATTACATAATTATACATAATGTAAAATATACTGTATGTATAACATCAGTATACATATACATACGTAATAATAAATATATAAATATATATATATTTTTTTTGATAGAAATATATAATTTTCATATAGAACATCCATCCAGTTACACTGTTAAATTCATAATATCAAATTATACCAAATTTGCGTTATTTTTAATCATAATCATTTTATCGATCGCTACTGCTTCTATATATCATTAATTTATCTAAAACAATGGTGTTAAACAATTTAACTCAAGAAAGTTATTAAATTTAACTCAACTTTTGTTTATTATTTCTAAATGCAAACGTTAATATGGACATGTTTACTTTGAAACTTACCGCAGAAATGGATTGATTACATTTTGACACATATAGAAGTTAAAAATAACGAAATGTTATTGACTCAAGGGATTGAGTTCCTTTGATATCTAACAATGTACTGTTTAGTATTAGTGCATTCTCATTAGTTGTAACAATATTGCGTAGAAAATGAACAAGAACTTGATAAGAATTTTATTCAATGGGTTCTGAAGCGGTTTTCCGAATAAAATACTTACAACTTGCGTAAACTTGCTCAGTTAATGTCTAGTCTTACTAATAATTATTATTACTTAAAATATTGTCTATTTATATATAGGGTGTATCTGAAATAACTTACTAATCATACAGTGCTATTCCTAATAAAAAACTGAGTCAAAAAGTCCTCTATCATGTTGCAATTTTTACAGTAGTTAACGAGATATTAATTTTGAAAGGTTGTTAAATAAACGGATAAAATTGATGTATAAGACAATTTTAAAATATTTTTCAGTGTTCTTTGTGAAACATTTTGAAGATGTTCCTTAAAGAGAGAGAGAACTCTTAAAGATATCTTAAAAATTGTCTTATACGTCGATTTTAGACATTTTGCTCATTGGGTGAAAAAAAATATTACAAAAATTGCAAAATAGTAGAAGACCTTTCGACTCAGTTTTTTATTAGGAATAGTGGGCATTCTGTATGATTAATGGGCGTTATTTCTGATATACCGTGTATATTCAGTTTTTGTTTAATAAATAGATTCAGATTTTGTGCGCAGTAATTGCAGGCAAAGTGTTATATCTTGATTGAGATTTTACGTACGATGTTACTTCTCTATTACTAAACGAAGATTATTATAAATGTTCAATAACTGCTAAAAAATGCATGAAATTTCTTCCAGGATGTATGTATATATGTGTGTAAAATTGGTTCAGCAAAAGAATCGTAATACCTGATTTATTGATCTGGTATACTGGTATACATGATCTAACAATGTAATATCTAAGATATCTGCAATGATAATATGTAGTTATGTACGCCTATTAAAGAAGAGACTTATGCAAGAACAATTGTAAATAACGATATTATTTTCATGTGAAATATTTTCTACTGTATATAACTTTATAAGTTAAAAAATTAGAAAATGGGTAATATCCTTGTAATATATTAGATTTGTTTAAGCAAAAACAAAAGACATTATGAAAGACACTTGCCATCGAATTTTACGTGCGTATATCGAGGTCGGTCGTAAGCGCAGTGAAAAAAAGTCGTGGAGAAGGTTCTCATGGTAATCTGCAGTTACCTGCAAGGTAACGTCTGCAGTTTTGTTGCTTTCCTTTAACCTTGCCCGGGGCCTTTCCAATCCTTTGTTAAGTCATTTTTCTGATATATTACAAATTTCTTTTTGCAGTCGCATATACTTATAATTTCTACCAATATAATATATTTAATTTGTTTCTTAATTATTTGATAATTTTCATTGAGTTATTTGTTTACTTGTGCTACTTTTTAAAAAGCTGTATAAAATGGCAGTTTAATTTAAATTTAATTCAATTTAATTTAGTTTATTGCAAAGAGAGAGAGCTTTATGAAAAAGACTACATGTTAACAGAGTAATAAGACATAAAATATGATACAATAGACTATAGTTAACATAAATACGTAAGTACAATAAACAATAATAGCTTGCAATTATGCTTGTATTTTAAATGTTACTTTTTTCTCGCAATTCTGATTAGTTCTTTCGTCGTACGATGTGTTTAATAATTATTTAGTATTAAATATCTTTGTAAATTATGTGTAATGGATATGATGTTCTTTCTTTTTCTCGGAATAATGTCATTTTAATTCATTACAAATTGGCATTTAATAACATAATCATTTATGGCGTAAGCATCGTTAATATAAAAAGACTGTTATACTATTAATATGTATATATTTATATTATTATATATTCCTGTTAATTATGGTATAGATTCATAAATCTTTTCTTCATTTTGTCCCAGTTACAATGGCGCATATTTCATACACGCATTAACTAAATTTTATCATTTACAATTAAGAGATGGGAAAAATGACATAGTCAGTATTCATAGTCAATTTTTATTTCAAAACCGTTTTAAGTAATGTTTTAAAACGCTAATACGACTCTGTGATTGGTTTATGACATCTTAAGACTGTACTTAAGATAGTCTTAAATATAAAAATCGATTATGAATACCGACCTAAATGCAAGTAGAACAATTTTTAACATGTGCTATTTAAACCGTCGGACTTGTCGGTTCTATAAACATCCATTCTATAATAAAGTCAAATGTTAAGACATATAGAATTACAATGACTTATATAATATTGTATTCCATAGTAATCACATGTGCGTTTCTCGGATTTTGCTTTAGGCGATGTTTACTGCTTATTTATATACAATATGCATTTACATGAAGTACCGTTTCATAGAATGTTTATCATGATCGTAACAAGAAGATTATATTCTTTCGCAATAATATATAATGCTAACTGCATCTTGCCGACAACATGGCTTTCGTTGAATAGAAGAGTTAGGTTGTTTTCTTTCTCAAGATCGTAGATTTCTTCTCAGTGAATCCTTAGTAAATGCTCCTTGTCTAGCAGCAGCATTAGAGTTTTAGAAAATATGCATGCAGAAGTC